TAGATTCCACATATAAGTGGAATCATATGGTGTTTGTCCTTCTCTGTCCAAGTTATTTCACTTAATATCATACTTTCTAGGTCAATCCATATTCTTGCAAAAGGCAAGATTTCATTCTTTTTGTAAGTGAGTAATATTCCATTGTATATATGGGGGTATACAAAAGTAGGTAAATTACCAGCCATCATTACCTAAAAAATAAACCATTAGTAAGGATACAAAATAATAATAATATGAAGAAGACAAATAATATAAATCAATTATGCAATAATTAATAAATAACATAAGAATAAATTATTTTTTAAAAATATATTTGTATTGGTTTCCAAGAGGAAGGGAGAAGGAGAGAGAGATAGAAACATCAATGATGAGAGGGAATCTGTGATTGGCTGCCTCCTGCACACCCCGCAGTGGGGATTAAGCCCGCAACCCAGGCATGTGCCCTGACCGGGAATCAAACCCTGGATCTCTTGGTCTATGGGACGGTGCTCAGTCCACTGAGCCACCACAGCAGGGCAAGAATAAATTCTTTTGCATACACTCAACTGTAAATGTACTCATCCCTGTATATATATATATACACCACTTCTTCTTTCTCTATTTATCTGTTAATGGACACCTTGGTTGCTTCCATATTTTGGCTATTATAAACAATGCTGCAATAAAAGAGGTGCATATTTCTTTCTGAATTGTGGTTTTTTAAAATAAAATAAATACCCAGAAGTGAAGTTGCTGATTGTATAGTAGTTATATTTTTAATTCTTGGAGAAATCCACATACTGTTTTCCATAGTGACTGAATTAATTTGCAACCCCACCAATAGTGCATAAGTGTTTCCTTTTCTCCACACCTGTTATTTGTTGTCTTTTTTATAATAGCCATTCTGGAAGTGTGAGGTGATATCTCTTTGTGGTTTTGACTTGCATTTCTCTGATGATTAGTGTGGAGACTCATACAGCAGTGCTCAGTGAATGTTAACCTTTGCAATTACTGAGACAACTAAATTTTATATTCTTTTCCTTGGTTCATAAATAATCCTGCTTTTGAGGAGATGGCCTTACTCTTCTAAGTTCAAGTCCATGTTCTTCCTTTTATTTCATATATTTGAGGTAGATTTTTTTAAAAAAGTGACTTCCATACTTTTACTTATGTGTATGTATTATATGTGTACCTTTTTTTTAAAAAAAATTTATTTTTAACTAGAGGCCCAGTGCATGAAATTTGTGCACTGGGGGGGGGTCCCCTCAGCCTGGCCTGCGCCCTCTTGCAGTCTGGGAGCCCTCAGGGGATGTCTGACTGATGGCTTAGGCCTGCTCCCTACAAGGAGAGGGCCTAAGCTGTCAGTCGGACATCCATAGCACTGCTGTGGAGGCGGGAGAGGCTCCTGCCATCGCCACTGTGCTTGCCAGCCGTGAGCCCGGCTTCTAGCTGAGTGGCAGTCCTCCTGTGGGAGAGCACTGACTACCAGGGGGAAGCTCCTGTGTTGAGCGAGATTGGGCCGAAATCAGCTCTCCAACATCCCTGAGGGGTCCCAGATTGCGAGAGGATGCAGGCCAGGCTGAGGGACACCACTGGTGCATGATTGGGGCCGGGGAGGGACCACGGGAGGTTGGCCAGCCTGGGAGGGACCACGGGAGGGCTCCAGAGTGTGTCAGGCCCATCTCACTCAGTCCGAATCGACCGGACCCCAGCAGCAAGCTAACCTACTGGTCAGAGCATCTGCTCTCTGGTGGTCAGTGCACGTCATAGTGAGTGGTTGAGCGGCCTTAGCATATTATTAACATACTAAGCTTTGATTGGTTGAACAGAAGACCAGATGATTGGACACTTAGCATATTAAGCTTTTATTATATAGGATGATGTGTTCTTTAAGAACATCATTTCTTTCTGGTTTCACTTACTTTCCACCCATCCTTTAAACATAGTCAACCTTGTCAGTAGTATAACCAGATTAGCATCCTAGAGATTCCTTTTCCTATCAAAATACCTAGATAACCGGTGTTCACCTGTAACAAATCTCCACTTGTGAATTATTTGTCATCACAAAATAATGGGTATAGGAAGCTAGGGAAATGGAAACAAACCAGGCCAAATATACCTGGATTGGATCAAAATAATCTTGAACGAGAATTTTACTATACCCTTAACTCTACTACATAGAAGGTGACTGGAATCTTTTTAATTTCCTTTAAGTTGTGTTTGTTTTAAAGTGAGTGAATTGCCAGAACCAGTTTGGCTCAGTGGATAGAGCGTCGGCCTGTGGACTCAAGGGTCCCGGATTCGATTCCGGTCAAGGGCATGTACCTTGGTTGCGGGCACATCCCCAGTGGGGGGCGTGCGGGAGGCAGCTGATCAATGTTTCTCTCTCGTTGATGTTTCTGGCTCTCTATCCCTTTCCCTTCCTCTCTGTAAAAAATCAATAAAATATATAAAAAATAATAATAATTAAAAAAAAGTGAGTGGATT